CCGCGCCCGCCGCTCCCGACGCCCGGCCCCGCCGCCCGCTGCGCTCCCGCTGACACCCGGGGCAGCACCGGGGGAGCACCGGGAGGGCACCCGGAGAGCACCGGGAGAGCAGCGGGACAGCACCGGGAGAGCGCCGGGAGGGCGCCGGGAGAGCAGGAAAGCACCGGGAGAGCACCCGGAGAGCACCGGGAGGGCACTGGGACAGCACCGGGACAGGCGGGCACCGGGAATGCACCGGGAGAGCACCGGGAGAGCACCGGGAAAGCAGGAAAGCACCGGGAGAGCCCTGGGACAGCACCGGGAGAGCACCCAGAGAGCCCCGGGAGAGCCCCGGGAATGCACCGGGAATGCACCGGGAAAGCACCGGGACAACACCAGCAGAGCACCGGGACGGGCGGGCGGCGGGACAGCCCCGGGAATGCACCGGGCCAGCCCCGGGCCAGGCGGGCACGGGCGCCCCAAAGCCGGCTGGAGCCCCCCCAGTCCCTGCCTGCAGACCCCACACAATGGGCAGGGGGCTGCCCAGGGACCCTCCAGACCGGCGCTGCCGGGGGCTGCGACCCCCCCCCCCCCCCCAATTCCCGCTCGGGAACTGTCGCTGTGTCCCAGGAAAACCCTGGCAGAATTGGGGAGGGGGCTCTCAAGGGCTCCCTCTGAACTCCAGTGAGGCTGGGGAGGGGTCCCCAGCACCCCCAGCCCCCCCCAGCTCCCACCGGGCTCTGTTCTCCCAGAAAACCCCGGGACCACCTCGGCGTGGGGAAACTGGGGAGGGGGAGACAATCTGTCCCCCCCCAAAACAAACCTGGGGGGTTCCCTCCCCTAATTCCCACCCCCAGACCCAACCGGGCACCGTTCTCCTGGGAAAACCCCGGGAAATTTGGGGAGGGGGGAGCAGCCCAGGCGCCCCCAGCCCCCCCGGGGTGGCTGTACATAACCCCGTAGGTAGAGACCCCCGGGGGGGGCTGGGGGGGGTCGCTTCTGCCTTTTCTTTATCATTTTTCCGGCTAATCATCATGTTTGCGCCGGGGCGGCCGCGGGGACGGGGAGCGCTGCGGAGGCGTCACCGGGGACAGACAGAGCATCCCCGGGGGGGTCACCGGGGGGACACGGGGGTGGGGGGCCCTCCGCGGGGGGTGACCCCGGCCAGGGGCTGTCGCTGTCCCCGGGGGTGTCACTGTCCCGGGGGATGTCACTGTCCCGGGGCCTGTGACCCCTCGGTGGCGGCACCGTGACCTCCGCACCGGGGCTGCCCTGCCGGGGTCACCCTGCCGCGGTCAGGCCGCCCCCCCGGGGGCCCTGCGGCTGTGTGGCCCCCCGGGTGTGGCGGGGCCGGGCTGAGGCGTGCCCGGGCCCCGGCGCCGCTTCCTTCCCCTTTCCCGCTGCCCCCATTCTCCGCTCCGCCGCTGCCGGGGCTCCCCGCGGGCCGGCCGGGGGTGCCGCGGGCACCGAGCGGGGCTGGCGACACTGCGGGCACCGGGGGGTTTTGGGGACGGGGAGGGAGCGGGTCGTTCCCCCGGGCGCTGCCCGTGCTGGGAAGGGGTCCCTGCCGCGGCTGCGGGGGTCCCGGTGTCCCGCGGTGACCGGAAAGCCTCTCCCTTCCCGCCGGGGCAGCGGCGGGGAGGTGGCACGGCCCGTGTCGCCGCAGATGCTGTGACAGCCATGTCGGACGAGAAGCCCCCGCAGCTCGTGGATTATTTCGTGGTGGCCGGGCTGGCGGAGGGCTCGCGGGCGCTGGAGGAGGAGCAGCAGCCGCGGCCGGCGCGGCCCGGGGAGCCCATCACGGACGTGGCCGTGATCATCCGCTCGCAGGGCGAGGAGGTGCCCCAGGGCTTCACCTGCATCGAGACCAGCACGTCGGGCCACCCCGTGGACCTCAACGCGGGGCTGCTCAACAACCCCCAGATGTTCCTGTGCTACAAACGGGGGCGGGACAAGCCCCCCCTGATCGAGCTGGGGTGAGTGGGGGGACACCCAGCCCTGCCCTGGGTCACAGCAGGCAGAGGGAAGAGTTTGGGAAGGTGGGAAAACTTCCCCCCAGCAGGAAACACAATCACCCCCAATCCCAGTAAGGGACCCCACTGTCACCGCAGTAAGGGACCCCACTGTCAGCCCAGGAACAGACCCCACTGTCACCCCAGTAATAGACCCCACTGTCACCCCAGTAAGGGACCCCACTGTCACCCCAGTAAGGGATGCCACACTTCCCAGTAAGGGACCCCGCTGTCCCCCCTCCCCAGTAAGTGACTCCAGTCCCCAAAGCCTGGCACGGCCCCCCCAGGGGTGCTGGGGCAGCTGAAGGGCCCCACCTTGTGCTCCCCAAACCCCCCTGAGGGGAGCTGGGGGGAAGCACCCAGAGGTGCCGCTCTTGGGGCTCCCCTCACCCCTCGCCCCCCTCAGGGTGCACTACGAGGGCAAGGACCGCCCCAAGCCGGGCTACCAGATCCTGGACACGACCCCCTACAGCCGCTCGGCCAACCTGGCCTCGGGGTCCCCGGGCCACCAGCGCACGTTCCTGACGTTCCGGCGCGCGGCCGAGCCCCCCGGCCACCACACGCTGGGCGTCACCGACATCTGCCTGGTGATGCCCAGCAAGGGCGAGAGCACCCCGCTCACCTTCTGCCGCGTGGACAAGAACCTCAACACCAGCATGGTGCGTTTGGGGGGTCCCTTTGGTCCTGCCGCTGCTGCCCGGCCGCTGCTGAGCCCCAAAATCCTGATCCCTCCTTGCAGTGGGGCCCCGCGTTGTTCCTGTGCTACAAGATCGCCGTGGCCAAGGACAACACGCTGGTCTACGAGGCAGGTGGGGACCTGGGGCTGGGGCTTCTGGGTCCTCCCAGGGGGAGCCAGAGTTGTTTATTGTTGTTATTATTTTTAAAAATACTTTCTGTGTTAATTAACCTTTTGCAGCCAGCACGGGGCTGATTTGGGGAGGTGCAGGAGGCCCTGGGTCCCCTCAGGGGGGTTTGGGGAGCACAAGGTGGGGCCCTTCAGCTGCCCCAGCACCCCTGGGGGGGGCCTTGCCAGGCTTTGGGGACTGGAGTCACTTACTGGGGAGGGGGGACAGCGGGGTCCCTTACTGGGAAGTGTGGCATCCCTTACTGGGGTGACACTGGGGTCCCTTACTGGGGTTGGGGGTGATTGTGTTTCCTGCTGGGGGGAAGTTTTGGGGGCTGGTTTTGTGGAGCTGTGGGCACTCAGCTGGCTGCCCCCTCCTCACTGGGGTGGGTGAGATGACCTGGGGGCTGATCCTGGTGTCTGGTGTCCGTGTGTCCGTGTGTCCGTGCAGGGCTGCTGAGCCGCTACCCCGAGCAGGACAGTGAGTCCTTCCCTCTGCCTGAGTCGGTGCCCGTGTTCTGCCTGCCCATGGGGGCCACCATCGAGAGCTGGCCTGTGGGCACCAAGTACCCCCTGCCCGTCTTCTCCACCTTCGTCCTCACCGGCGCCTCGGGGGACAAGGCACGGCAGGGCGGGGGGCTTGGGGTGTGGGATGGGGGTCCCCAGTGCCATGGGGGGGGTGGTGTCAGCACCCACAGCCTTGTGGGACCGGGATCCCAGTGCCAAGGGGTTCCCATCCCTTGTGGGGCCAGGATCCCAGTGCCAAGGGGTTCCCAGCTCTGTAGGACCAGGATCCCAGTGCCAAGGGGTTCCCATCCCTTGTGGGACCGGGATCCCCTGTGCCAAGGAGTTCCCATCCCTTGTGGGGCCAGGATCCCAGTGCCAAGGGGTTCCCATCCCTTGTGGGGCCAGGATCCCCTGTGCCAAGGGGTTCCCAGCTCTGTAGGACCAGGATCCCTGTGCCAAGGGTTCCCAGCTCTATGGGACAAGGATCCCCATGCCAGGGGTTCCCATCCCTTATGAGACAGGGATCCCTGTGCCAAGGGTTCCCAACCCCCACGTGACCGGGATCCCCGTGCCCACGGTTCCCATCCCTCGTGGGACCAGCATCCCCGTGCCCGGGTGCCCTGACGGCCGTGCCCCGCAGGTGTACGGCGCTGCCATCCAGTTCCACGAGGCGTTCCCGCGGGAGCGGCTGTCGGAGGCGCAGGCGCTGCGCCTGGGGCTGCTCAGCGTGGTGGACCGGCGGCCGGTGCCCGGGCGCTCCCTGCACACCCGCAAGAGCATCTGCGTGCTGTCCCACTGGCCCTTCTTCGACGTCTTCCGCAAGTTCCTCATGTTCATCTACCGCTACTCCATCTCGGGCCCCCACGTGCTGCCCCTGGAGACGTGAGCGCGGACAAGGGGGGGCTCCGGGGGGGGCGGGGGCCCCCCGGTCACCCCCTCTGACGGGGCCGCTCCGCCCGCAGGCACATCTCCCACTTCATGCACAACGTGCCCTTCCCGTCCCCGCAGCGCCCGCGGATCCTGGTCCAGGTGAGTCACCTCGTGGGGGGCTCACAGCGACCCCCGGCGCGTCCCCGTGTCCCCCAGCACGTCTCCGTGTCCCCGCAGATGTCCCCCTACGACAGCCTGCTGCTGTGCCGGCCCGTGTCCTCCCCGCTGCCCCTCAGGTAGGGCTGGGGGAGGCTGCTGTGGGGTGGGGACGGGTGGGGAGGGGGCTGTGGGTGACCCGGGGGTGTCCCCGCCCGCAGCGGGGCCAGTTTCCTGACGCTGCTGCAGAACCTGGGCCCCGACAACGCGGTGGCACTGCTGGTGGCCGTCCTCACCGAGCAGAAGCTGCTCATCCACTCCCTGCGCCCCGACGTCCTGACCAGCGTGGGCGAAGCCCTGGTGGCGGTGAGTGACCGCAGGGGACACTGAGGGGACGTGCCACCGTGGGGCTGGGGACCCACCGTGCTGGGGATCCTGGTCCCACAGCGCTGGGGACCGGTGGCACTGGGGACTGTCACCCCTCAGTGCTGGGGACTGTCACCCTTCAGCACTGGGGCCCCCGGCGCGTCCCCGTGTCCCCCAGCACGTCTCCGTGTCCCCGCAGATGTCCCCCTACGACAGCCTGCTGCTGTGCCGGCCCGTGTCCTCCCCGCTGCCCCTCAGGTAGGGCTGGGGGAGGCTGCTGTGGGGTGGGGACGGGTGGGGAGGGGGCTGTGGGTGACCCGGGGGTGTCCCCGCCCGCAGCGGGGCCAGTTTCCTGACGCTGCTGCAGAACCTGGGCCCCGACAACGCGGTGGCACTGCTGGTGGCCGTCCTCACCGAGCAGAAGCTGCTCATCCACTCCCTGCGCCCCGACGTCCTGACCAGCGTGGGCGAAGCCCTGGTGGCGGTGAGTGACCGCAGGGGACACTGAGGGGACGTGCCACCGTGGGGCTGGGGACCCACCGTGCTGGGGATCCTGGTCCCACAGCGCTGGGGACCGGTGGCACTGGGGACTGTCACCCCTCAGTGCTGGGGACTGTCACCCTTCAGCACTGGGGACTGTCACCCCTCAGCACTGGGGACTGTCCCCTCTCAGCACTGGGGACTGTCACCCTTCAGCACTGGGGATCCTTGTCCTGTGGTGCTGGGAGCGCTGATCCCGTGGTGCTAGGGACCTGTGGCACTGGGGACCTGTGGCACTGGGGACTGTCACCCCTCAGCACTGGGGATCCCTGTCCTGTGGTGCTGGGAGCGCTGATCCCGTGGTGCTAGGGACCTGTGGCACTGGGGACCTGTGGCACTGGGGACTGTCCCCTCTCAGTGCTGGGACTGTCACCCTTCAGCAGTGGGGACTGTCACCCCTCAGCACTGGGGACCCCTGTCCTGCGGTGCTGGAGACCTGCTGTGGAGATCCCCCTGCCACGGTGCTGGGGGTCCCCGTTCTGTGCTGCTGGGGGTCCCCGTTCCGTGCTGGGGACCCCGATCCCGGCCCCGTGCCGTTGGTGGTCCCGGTCCCGCAGCTCTGGAGACCCCACCCCGCGGCGCTGGGCCCCCCGTCCCGCCTGGCGGGGGCCCTGCGGCGCTGACCACCCTCGTCCTGTCCCCAGATGATCTTCCCCCTGCGCTGGCAGTGCCCCTACATCCCGCTGTGCCCGCTGGCGCTGGCTGACGTGCTGTGTGCCCCCGTGCCCTTCATTGTAGGCATCCACTCCAGCTACTTCGACCTCTACGAGCCCCCCCGCGACGTCATCTTCGTCGACCTGGACACCAACACCATTTTCCAGTGAGTGTCCCCTGGGCTGGGGGCGGGTGGGCTGTCCCGGGGGTCCCGGGGGTCCCGCCCTGCCCTGGTGCCTGTGCCCCCAGGAGCGAGGAGAGGAAGCTGCTGTCGCCCCGCGCGCTGCCCCGCCGGCCCTGCAAGGTGCTGCTGGCCTCGCTGCACAGCCTGTCCCAGCAGCTGGATGAGCGTGAGTGGGGGTCCTGGGGCTGGGCTGGGGGCTCCAGGGTGTCCTGGGGGTCACCACATCCCCCACCTGTGCTGTCATCACGGAATAGCCCAAACTGGGAGTGACCCGCTGGGGTCAAAGACCACCCTGAAATCCCCCCTGCCTGGGGGCGTTCCCCAAGCAGGATCAGAGCTGTGGCTTCACCCCCTCATTCCCTGGGTGTCGCTTCCCAAGCGGCCCCACCCCTGGGGCTCTGCAGCCGTGGGACTCATCTGGGGCATCCCTGGTGCCAGCACTGTCCCAGCTGACCGGGTGTCCCTGGTGCCAGTGCTGTCCTGTCCGTGTCCCCGGTGCTGACACTGTCCCACCCATGTGCCAACGCTGTCCCCTCCCTGTGCTGATGTCCCATCCGTGTCCCTGGTGCCAACGCTGTCCCAGCCAGCGGGGTGTCCCCGGTCCCATCTGGCCAGGCATCCCTGGTGCCATCGTCTGGCTGGGTGTCCCCAGTGCCAACACTGTCCCATCTGTGTCCCCGGTGCTGACACTCTCCTGTCCCCGGTGCTGGCTGCCCCATCCGTGTGCTGATGTTTTCCCATTGTCCCATCCGTGTCCCCGGTGCCGATGCTGTCCCATCCATGTCCCCAGTGCTGTCCCATCCGTGTGCTGATGTTGTCCCGTCCGTGTCCCCGGTGCTGGCTGTCCCATCCATGTGCTGATGTCATCCCCAGTGCCAACACTGTCCCATCTGTGTCCCCGGTGCTGACACTCTCCTGTCCCCGGTGCTGGCTGCCCCATCCGTGTGCTGATGTTTTCCCATTGTCCCATCCGTGTCCCCGGTGCCGATGCTGTCCCATCCATGTCCCCAGTGCTGTCCCATCCGTGTGCTGATGTTGTCCCGTCCGTGTCCCCGGTGCTGGCTGTCCCATCCGTGTGCTGATGTCCCATCCGTGTCCCCAATGCCAACACTGTCCCATCCGTGTCCCCGGTGCTGACACTCTCCTGTCCCTGGTGCTGGCTGCCCCATCCGTGTGCTGATGTCCCGCTGTCCCCTCCGTGTCCCCGCAGTGCTGAGCGCGCCGGGCGAGGAGGAGCCCCCGGAGCTGGTGCTGAGCGACGCGGAGGCCGCGGGGGCCCGGCGGGCGCAGCTGGAGCTGGAGGCGCGGGCGGCCTTCCTGCGCTTCATGGCGTGCGCCCTGCGCGGGTACCGCTCCTTCCTGCGGCCCATCGCGCCCGCGCCCGCCCCGGCCGGCCGCGACGCCGGCAGCCTCTTCGCGCTGCAGGGTGAGGGGGCACGGGAGCTGTCCCTGGAGAGCTGTGCCATCCTGTCTGTGCAGTTCCATCTGATTTCATCCCAGTCCATCCCATGCATGCCATCCTGTGCATCTTATGCATGTCATCCTGTCCTGTGCATACCATCCCATCCCATCCCATCCCATCCCATCCCACTGATCCCACCCCAGCCCACCCCAGTGACCCCTGCCCGTGTCCCCTGTGCCCCCGTGCCAGGGTTCCTGCGCTCGCGGGAGCGGGCGTACCAGCGCTTCTACGGGCAGCTGCTGCGCACACAGCTCTTCACGCAGTTCATCGAGGACTGCTCCTTCGCCAGCGACCGCGAGCCCTGCCTCGAGTTCTTCGACACCTGCGTCGACAAGGTGTGTCCCTGTGTCCCCTCTGCATGCTCCTTGTGTGTCCCTTACTCCCTGCCTCCAGTTCCTCACCCGTGTCCACAAGGTGTGTCCCTGTGTCCCCTCGTTGTGTCCCTTGTGTGTCCCTCGCTCCCTGCCTCCAGTTCCTCACTTTGCCCACACGGTGTGTCCCTGTGTCCCTGTGTGACCCCGCTGCCCCTCCCCAGGTGCAGGTGGATCTGGAGAAGCCCGAGGACACGCCCCTGATGGAGCTGGACGACCCCCGGGGCGGGGAGCACACGGTGTTCATCACCCCCCCGGAGCAGCCGGCGGGGCCGGCCGGGGCCGAGCCCCCCGCACGCTACAGGTGAGACCCCCGGCCCCCCCCCGCGCCTCCCCCTCCCCAAACCCCCCTCACCTGTGCCCCCCCAGGTATGACGGGTTCCCCACGCTGCGCCCGGAGCTGCTGGAGCCCCCCCGGGACCCTCTGGTGGCCCAGCTGTGCCAGGCCCGGAGCAGCGCCCCGAGCAGCCCCGCGCCGCGCCGCACCAAGCAGGTGAGGGATGGCACCTGGGCACGCGTGCTGTGCCACCTGCAGGGGTGCCCAGCTGGGACAGCGCCTGGCTGGGCGTCCCCGTGAGCTGTGACACCGGGAGGTGCCCAGCTGGCACAGCGCCCGCGAGCCGTGACACCGGGCACGGCGCTGAGGGGCTCAGCTGCCCTGCCCTGACTCTGCCTCGCCCCCGCTGTCCCCAGGAGATGAAGGTGGCCCAGCGGGTGGCCCAGAAGTCATCGGCGGTGCCCGAGCTGTGGGCACGGTGCCTGCTGGGGCACTGCTACGGGCTCTGGTTCCTGTACCTGCCCACGCACGTGCGCGCCGCGCCCGCCAAGCTGCGCGCGCTGCAGCTCGCCTACGACGTCCTGCGCAAGATGGAGCAGCACAAGGTGGTGCTGCCCGACGAGGTGGGTCAGCTCCGGCTCCTCGTCCTCCTGGGAAAGGGGATCTGCTGCTGGGGGGGCTGTGGGGTCAGCAGCCGCCCTCACAGCCCCCCTGGAGGCCGAGGGGAACGGGCAGTGCTGTGTCCAGTGCCCGGTGCCCGGTGTCCGGTGTCCGGTGCTGTGTCCACTTCTCAGGGCAGCAGGGACATGACGGGGCTGGCAGAGAAAGGGGAGAGGCTGGAGCAGCAAAGAGGAATGGACAGGGACAGGGACAGGACAGGACAAGAGGAATGGACTGGGACAGGACGGGACAGGACAAGGGGAATGGGACAGGGAACAGGGACAGGACAAGGGGAATGGACAGGGACAGCACAGGACAAGGGGGAATGGCCTCAGGCTGGGCCGGGGGAGGCTCAGGGTGGATATTTGGGAAAATCCCCCTTGGAAAAGGTGAGGTTTGGAGTGGCCACCCCGGAGGTGTCTGAGGAAGGCCTGGGCGCTGTTCTGGGTGCCCCGGCGGGGCTGAGGCTCAGCTCCTCTCTGTGGCTCTGTGGCTCTGCCCCACCTGCGGGGCTCTGAGGGGTGCCCGCGGTGCCAGGCTGACGCGGCGCTGCCCCCAGGTGTGCTACCGCATCCTGATGCAGCTGTGCGGGCAGTACGGCGAGCCCGTGCTCTCCGTGCGCGTCCTGCTGGAGATGAAGCGCGCCGGCATCGTCCCCAACACCGTCACCTACGGCTACTACAACAAGGTGACCCCGGGGGCACCCCCGGCTGGGCGCGGGGGTCCCCGGCCACCCTGACCCCTCCGTGTCCCCCTGGCAGGCGGTGCTGGAGAGCAAGTGGCCGGCGGGGACGCAGGGGGGGCGGCTGCGCTGGGCCAAGCTGCGGAACGTGGTGCTGGGCGCGGCGCAGTTCCGGCAGCCGCTGCGGCAGCGGCAGCGGCGCCGCGCCAGCGGGGACCCCCCGGGTGAGCGGGGGCACGACTGGGCTTGGGGCAGCCGTGGCCGTGCCCAGGTGCTGCTGTCCAGCTGCTCGCGCTGCCCGGGCTGTGCCGCGCTGGTGTTCGACGAGGAGCTCATGGCCGGCTGGACCTCGGACGACTCCAACCTCAACACCTCGTGCCCCTTCTGCTGCCGCTGCTTCGTGCCCTTCCTGAGCATCGAGATCCGCGACCTGCGGCGGGCACCCAGGTGCCACCGGGGACAGGGCTGGGGACAGGGCTGGGGCACCCCCAGACACCCCTGGGGACACCCCGGGACAGCCCCGGACACACCCAGGGACCCCCGTCCTCTCTGGGGGCCCCCCAATGTCCCACTGCCATCCCCATGTCCCCAAGTGCCACCCTGGGGTCTCACCCCCAGACACCCCCATCCCCTGTGGGGACACCCCAATGTCCCACTGCTCTCCCAATATCCCCAAGTGCCACCCTGGGGACCCCCTGGGACACCCCCAGACACCCCCAGGGACCCCCATCCTCTGCCCAGACACCCCGGGACAGCCCCGGACACACCCAGGGACCCGCAGGGACCCCCGTCCTCTCTGGGGGCCCCCCAGTGTCACACCGCCCTCCCCATGTCCCCAAGGTGTCCCCAAGTGCCACCCCTGGGGCACCCCAGACACCCCCATCCTCTCTGGGGACACCCCAATGTCCCACTGCCATCCCCGTGTCCCCAAGTGCCACCCTGGGGTCACACCCCCCGACCCCCCCATCCTCTGTGGGGACACCCCAGTGTCACACCATCCTCCCAATGTCCCCAAGTGCCACCCCTGGGACCCTTCAGGACACCCCCAGGGACCCCCCAGACACCTTCAGGGACCCCCATCCTCTCTGAGGACACCCCAATGTCCCACTGCCATCCCCATGTCCCCAGGGTGTCCCCATCCCCCTCTTGGCCCCCATCCATCCGTCCCTCGGGGGTCCCCGGTGCCCCCCGTGCCCGTGACCCCCCCGTGTGTCCCGCAGCCCCCCCGGGGCCGGCCCGGTGCCCCCCTCCCCCCGGGGGCCGGTGCTCAGCGACCGCCGGCGCTGCCTGGAGCTGGACGGGACCCCCGGGCTGTGCAACGGCTGCGGAGAGAGCCCGGTACCGGGGGGCTGGGGGGTACCGGGGTACCGGGGGGCTGGGGGGCACCGGGGGGCAC